CCCCAGCTTAGTGTCGACATATATGTTTGTAACATGGTTAGGTTTATGTATAGGATGTATTCTGCGAGTTTAGTTTAGTCCTCACGGAGCTTGGATGGTAGGTGACCGAGCAATGTAATAGCCCCTGTCTCCTAAACAGAAGCATTATATAAATGGGTTAATTACACTTGATTTATATACTCTATCATCCCCTGTAACTTTCCACTGGCTATGAGGTGACATGATCATATCACGTGATCGGCAGGCTCCTTGAGGTGTGGCCCAGTGACTGTTTAGTTCAACATTTTATAAGGCCGGCGCTCTGGGGGCATTGTTACTCAACGCCTCACACAGATCAGACGTATATTAGAAGGTCTATTTTAAATAGCCTCCGTCCTTCTCTTAACACTCATAGTTGCAGTGATAAGTTACGGTGAACTACATTTTGGAACTGTATCCTCGATAGTTCCTCAATAAATGGATAACAGACAATTGGGTTTCGCTACTAAAACTCAATATAAATGTTCCGGCCTCATTAACCTAGACAGAATCAGCAGTTAACCGGCCTATAACAAACCAAACCTAACTTAACCTAATCTAATCTAATCTAACCTAACCTAACCTAACCTAACCTAACCTAACCTAACCTAACCTAACCTAACACCTTTCCACTCTTTCAATTCCCTTGTGAGGGTAGGAGGTCTTACATCCACCAGCGTAAACAAGAATAACACCAAATTGACCATAGCTGCGTCAGTGAGGGTAGGAGGTCTTACATCCACTCGCGTAAATAATAAGACATATTGAAAACTAACACCCTCGCGCGGAAAGAACATCGATGGTCGGTCAGTCATGTGAGATGGGCCTAAAACTGACTAACATAGATGATGACTATGATGACTTAACACAGGTGATGACTTAAGCAGCTGGTGACTAATCTAACCAGAATCAAGGCCACTTCTCTTCATAATATAATTTATCTCGGAATGATCATCGGTGATTCATAATATTTTTTTTTCATGATTTTAACCTCTCCTTATGGCGAATATTTCTTTAATTAATTATTCTAACCTTTACTCTATTCCTTCTTATAGTATATTAAATACTGTAAGTATCATGACCACGACCATGATTATAACAACCACGACCATGATTATAATAACCACGACCATGATCATAACAGCCACGACCATGATTATGACAACCACGACTATGATTATAACAACCACGACCACGATTATAACAACCACGACCATGATTATAACAACCACGACCATGATTATGACAACCACGGCCATGATTATAACAACCACGACCACGATTATAACAACCACGACCATGATTATAACAACCACGATTATGATTATAACAATCACGACCATGATTATAACAACCATGACCATGATTATAGCAACCACGACCATGATTATAAACCACTGATTATAACAACCACGACCTTGATTATAACAACCACGACCATGATTATAACAACCACGACCATGATTATGACAACCACGACCATGATTATAACAACCACGACCACGATTATAACAACCACGACCATGATTATAACAACCACGACCATGATTATAACAACCACGATTATGATTATAACAACCACGACCACGATTATAACAACCACGACTATGATCATAACCATGACAATGATTATAACAACCATGACCATGATTATAACAACCACGACGATGATTATAACACTCACGACCATGATTATAATAACTACGACCATGATCATAACCACGACCATGATTATAACAACCACGACCATGATAATAACAACCACGACCATGATTATAACAACCACGACCATGATTGTAACAATGACGACTATGATTATAACAACCAAGACTATGATTATAACAACCACGACCATGATTATAACAATCAGGACCATGATTATAATAACCACGACTATGATTATAACAACCACGACTATGGTTATAACAACCACGACCATGATTATAACAATCAGGACCATGATTATAATAACCAAGACTATGACTATAACAACCAAGACTCTGATTGTAACAACCACAACCATGATTATCTCATATACAATAGGAATAGCCGTGTGTCTGTGTGTGTGTGTGTGTCTGTTCTGGGCAGCCGAAACGGCACAATCGTTTTTCATCAAACTTGGTGGAAAAATCGCAAAAAATTCGAAGAGTGGAACAAACCTGGTCCCATGTCGAAGGTTTCTTTAGGAAGGCATTAATTAACCATTTTATTTATGCTGGAAAAGGATGTCGCTGTACGCTGCCATCCTTAACGTGGTTGCACGCTAGCCAGGCATGAGCGTTCGCACTTTCACGCTTTGGTAAACTGTACCACCAGACTCGCCTCCGGGCACGAAGTGCCCACGATCACTTGTATACATATATATGTATATGGTAAAGAAAAGTTCCTTATGGTTAGGCTAAGTTCACTTTTTGAAACCTTCAGTGTTTCTATCTTGTTTTATTCTTATACCTTCTTATCACCCTTTCTCCCCACGACAGCAAAATTTCGTTCCTCAGATCGGTTGTCTTATCCCCCCCCCCCACCTTACTCCCCCTACAACTCTGATATCCTCCTCTTATTGGTTGTCTGAGACCCCCTCTCCACCTCCTCATTAATGCAGATCCTGTCTTCTAATTGGCTATCTAAATTTCTTCCTACTGCAGACCTCTCTGCGTATTGACTGTCTGTGACATTGTTAGACAAGTCTTCTATTTTGAAGAATAGAGTCTTTTCCCTAAGAGCCTTTTGCTGTGACTGCCTGCCTCTGCACTGTGACAATCCTAGCCTTTAACTTTGACTACCTGACCTGCCCTGAACTTCACAGCTCCTACATCTTACACCTCGCAAAAACAATTACCTGATTGGTTGTAACCGCAGAGCGCTATTTTTTGGTGTTGAGATTGGTGGTTGCAGGCTGTCGTGACGGACTGAGCTTGTATGAGCTATTAAAGTTACGAAGGATCGTAACACAGGGCGTAACTGGCAGCGTCATTGGAGTTAATTAGTTGGTCCGACTCTGCATTTGTCATATGAGTGCAGAAAAATTTAAATGTGTGTTAGGTAGAGGCTGGCAATCTTCATAATAGACAATAATTATTTAATAATAATACTAATAATATTGTTAAGGTAGTGTGTCTTGATCTTTTCGTGTATTTTTCTGCGTTTCAACTTCCCAATCTTTAAGTATGTAACCTCTAGTGTGTGTGTCGCCTTTGAGAGATCAGTTGTTAAGCTCTATGATATACAATGTATTGCTTGGTAGCTTCACTGATATGTTGAATGTTGCAACATTCAAGATCACTAAACACATAACACCAGGATGGTTAATGCGGAATAATTGGTAATATATAATAATATTCTCTCAATAATTTCCTGTGCGTGTATTCTAGACAATAATTCAGTACTGCGGAGTTGTGTCTAACGAACATCTTATTATATAATTTACATTGATTTATACTGAATGATGCTCCTGTCTGCCGGAACTAATCTAATTAATTCTTATCTCCTCTGGGTATAATGGCTTACTTGTTTGACTCTTAAATTAGTATAGTTGTCTGTGAAAATAATAAATCTTCGGTATAATTATTTGTCATTGAATCATAAATTTGACTTTCCTTATTAATTTTCAGTCGTAGTATATATTCTGATGAATTTTATTTCATGATGTATGATTCTTCTTGCTAATTCTTGCCAAAGAAGAAATATACTAACATTAGAAGATTCGGTTACTGGTGACGGTCAATGTGCCGGATATTTTGGGCCGACGTTGCATGGTATCGACTAATCAGCTTCAGGTTCTTCAAGACAAAAGTTCGGTAAGATTTGTACGGAGTTCCTTTAATAAATCACAATCAATACTTCGTGGAAAGACAGCGGGTGAATATTGCATCCAGTCGTGCTATAATTGTCGTTTATGAATTTTATCTTTATTTTAATATCTGTTGAATTATAAGTTGCACTAGTGAGGGTTGGAGTCGAAATATTCCGTCTGTTAGTTTGTTGGTTAGTTCGTTAGAATTAATAATGAAATGTTTCGAGTTGTTGTTGTTACTGTTTTTCAATTAGGTACCGCTCATAAAACCTCATATCTATTACAAATAAGGCTTGAAAAATACGAATAAGGCGACAATTAAAATTTCTTAGCTGTTTTTGCTCAATTTCAATTTCAATATTTTATTCCTTGATAGAGGAAGCGGGATCCTAGTGCTGGCACTAGCCAGAAGTATCTGGCAAGTGTCACAAGTACATATAAATATTATAAAGGTGCTTACTAAGGCCTAAGGAAGGAAGGATATTCCTTCAACACACCATCAATAGTATTTACATAATATCTGGCCAGTATGAGGCGGATCATCGTGTCTCCGTCAGGGGGTCGTGGAGTGGTGGTCCAGCAGGCGTCACAGAAGCGTTGTGTGTGTGGACATCTTAGGAGGTAGTGGACAAGGGTGCGGCTGTAGGGTCTTCTGTATAATGCACAAGCGCGTTGCTCAGGGGAGGTGGGGATACCAATCTCCCAAGCAAAGTCATGCCCAATGATGATACGGGCAGCAATCACGTCCCTTTTCCGCCACCCTTTCCCAGAGCCATACGAGAGGTCAAGGAGTTTACGGTTCTTTGCTGTTGGGGTTTCTATGTATTTAATTGGTTCATCGGCCATGGTCTGTAAGCACCTTTTACGAGATCAGTTTCTATACTAGTCCAAAACTTAAAAAAATAAATAAATAAATAAACAAATAAACAAAATTCTTTCTAGCTTTACATTGAGCAGTTTTGTGTAGTGTTATATGTTGACCACTAGTCCTGGCGTTATTCCCTTCAATACAGCATAACTAACATTTCAATATTTATTTTGTATTACTTGCTCTGTTATTTAATACAGTTATGGTGGAGTTTCCACATAATTCTGATGTAATCCTCGCCATCAGCTCTACCATTGTTCAGTACATCAGTGACGGTATGTATGCCTGTGCCACTTATCTTTCATTGTATTCGTTTTTCAGGTGTCAAGTCTCCAGCTAGCTCAACACACTGAGTTAAAGGTAAGTGAATTAAGGCTTTTACTTAATCATCTGAAGGGTTAGGTAGGGCATTTCCGTAGCCAGTTCAAGGGTTGGGTAGGGTATTTACCTAACCATCTCAAGGGTATTTAAGGTAGTTTTTATGGGTCTGTCTAGTCCAGTGGTTCTCAACCTTGTTTGCCCCATGCACCCCTTTCACCATATGTCAGAATGTCATTCCCCCCTCCTTTCCAAGATTGTCTGCCTCAAAAAGTGCATTCCAAATAATATGCATATAATACTGAAAATCCTTTATTTTTTCCATATTAGTATCAGTTTCCCCCCCCCCCCCCCTGAAAACCTGAGGGGGGAAATTCCCCCCTGGTTGAGAACCCCTGGTCTAGTCGATGTACAGTGGTGAGTCGTCCGTGGTGGTCTTGGGTAGTCCGTGAAGGTGATGAATCGTCATTTGGTGGTGGGTCGCCCATAGTAGTAGTGGTAGTGGGTCGTCCGGAGTAGTAGTGGTGGAGGGTCGTCCGTATCATTAGTAGTCGTGGTGATGGAGAGTCGTCCGTATCAGTAGTAGTGGTGGTGGTGGGTAGTCCGTGGTGGTGGTAGTGGTCGTCCGTGGTCGGTGGTGGTTGTGGTAGTCTTCACTGCGGGTATGCGTGCAAGACAATCTGAGTATAGCGTATAATCTCTTGACTCAGTATGTCCTCCCGTCTTGTGATTACTGTGTATAATCCTATCACCTACACCTGACTACACCCACCCACACATGACTATGGCTCACTACACCTTCAGCTGGCTCACTATACCTGGCTTCATCCACACTTAGTTACACTTCACATTTAATTACACTAAACTTGTCTCCCTACACTTATCTCTTTACACCTGTCTCCTACACCTGTCTTCCTACACCCGTTTCCCTACACCTGTCTCCCTACACCCGTTTCCCTACACCTGTCTCCCTACACCCGTTTCCCTACACCTGGTCTCCCTACACCCGTTTCCCTACACCTGTCTCCCTACACCCGTTTCCCTACACCTGTCTCCCTACACCCGTTTCCCTACACCTATCTCCTTACACCTGTCTCCTACACCCGTTTCCCTACACCTATACACCTCTCCTTACACCTGTCTCCTACACCTGTACACCTTCCTACACCCGTTTCCCTACACCTGTCTCCCTACACCCGTTTCCCTACACCTGTCTCCCTACACCCGTTTCCCTACACCTGGTCTCCCTACACCCGTTTCCCTACACCTGTCTCCCTACACCCGTTTCCCTACACCTGTCTCCCTACACCCGTTTTGTCTCCTACACCTGTCTCCCTACACCCGTTTCCCTACACCTATCTCCCTTACCTGTCTCCTACACCTGTCTCCCTACACCTGTTTCCCTACACCTATCTCCTTACACCTGTCTCCTACACCTGTCTCCCTACACCCTGTCTCCTACACCTGTCTCCCACACCTACACCCTCCCCACACCTGTCTCCCCTACACCTGTCTCCTACACCCTGTCTCCCCACACTCGTTTCCCTACACCTATCTCTACACCTGTCTCCCCACCTGTCTACACTCGTTTCCCTACACCTATCTCCTGCACCTGTCTCCACCTGTCTCCCTACACCCCGTTTCCCCACCTATCTCCTTACACCTGTCTCCTACACCTGTCTCCTACACCCGTTTCCCTACACCTATCTCCTTACTCTCTCCTACACCTGTCTCCCTACACTCGTTTCCCTACACCTATCTCCTTACACACCTGTCTCCTACACCTGTTTTCCCTACACCTATCTCCTTACACCTGTCTCCTACACCCGTTTCCCTACACCTATCTCCTTACACCTGTCTCCTACACCTGTTTCCCTACACCTATCTCCTTACACCTGTCTCCTACACCTGTCTCCCTACACCCGTTTCCCTACACCTATCTCCTTACACCTGTCTCCTACACCTGTCTCCCTACACCCGTTTCCCTACCTCTATCTCCTTACACCTGTCTCCTACACCTGTCTCCCTACACTCGTTTCCCTACATATATCTCCTTACACCTGTCTCCCATACCTGTCTCCCTGCACCTATAAGTGAATAACTACAATGTTCCTCAGCTGATTGGTTCTCAGTTCAAGCGTTCCTCAGTTTAAACGTTGTGTAAGTATAAGCTTCCCTCAGCTTAAACGCTCCTTATCTGAAAAGTTCCTTATCTTAAATGTTCATGAGGTTAAGCGTTTCTCAAAGCTTGAACGATCTCCTCCTAAAAATGTTCTCAGCTTGAATGTTCCTAACAATAGCAAGTATCAAGAACCAATACACTTAGGAAACCTCAACTCGGATATTGTTCCTCCTCAGCAAAAAACGATTCCTGTTTAAGTATTTATCAGGTTAAGTGTTTATCAGCGTAAACGTTCCTCAGCTAGTGTTTCTCACCTTAAGTGCTCCTCAGATTAAGTGTCCCTTAGCTTAAGTGCTCATCAGCTCAAACGTTCCACAACTTAACGTTAATCAGCTGAAGTGTTTCTCAGCTTAAATATTCCACATCTTAAAGGTTTCACATCTATATTATTCCTCACCTTACATTATGTGTTCCTCACCTTATGTGCTACTCACCTTCAGTGTTCCTCACCTTAGATGTTCCACATTTAACTATTCCTCATTTAAAATATTCTTCAATGTAAACGTTCTTCAGTTTAAAATCAAAAGTTGCTCCTCAGCTCGAAAGGTTCCCTAAACTAATATGTAAATGAGGTCAACGTTTGTCATCCACACAATCACCAGTAAGCATGGTATCAGCCCCTACTCCCCCCTTTCTTAACCACAGCCTGGCTCACACTGACCCTGCATTCTCGCTTAATACCAGAATCTGTAAATGAATTTCGCGTGATTCTTGGGACCCACCCTAAGTCTAGTGACCAACTCGACCATCGCGTGAGTGGTTGCAGTCTTCGTGTCTTCCAGTGTCGGGTACTGAGTCGACCGCTGGAACGTTGAGTCGACCTCTAACTTTCATTAAAGTCGATCTGAGTTGTGTATTAAGTCAATCTGAAATATACGTTAGAGTCGGCCAGCGTCGTGCCTCAAAGACAATCTGTGTCATGTATTAAGTCGACCAATAACATACAGTAAAGTTGACCTATAACTTGCATGAAATTCAACCTATAACTTACATTAGAGTTTACCTGCAATACATTAAAGTTGATCTGTAATATACATTAGAGTCGACCTGTAACATACATTAAAGTCCACCTGTAACATACATTAAGTCGACTTGTAACACATGAAAGTCAATCTGTAACATACATTAAAGTCGACCTATAACATACATTAGAGTCGACCTGTAACATGCATTAGAGACGACCTGCATCACGTTATAATCGACCTGTAACATGCACTAGAGTCGACCTGTAACATGTTTAAATTGGATCTTTTTCAAGGATCACTGCAGTATGTACGTACAGTATATGTGTTAGCAGATCAACTCTCGTGTGCTGCTACAACATCAGTTTTCTAAAAGAAAAAAAAGGGGAGTTCTCTCCCCTCCCCGTAACACAAGCATTCTTTGCAATCTTTATATTAGGGGTTAAAGGTTTCTGGGTCAGAAATGTCGCATGACTTAATGTCTTGCACAATTACTGCAGTCGAGTTGCAAATTATGCACGAACTGGTCATTCATAACACTGGGTGCGGTGAACACACCAACCTTGGCTGCACTATCTCTTACACTGTCACTGATTTCATTTTTATTAGTTGCCATTATTTTTTTTAATGAACCACTTTCTAGTTTTCTTATTATTTGTTTACATATTTCCTTATTATTTGTTTATATATTTCCTTATTATTTGTTTACTCCTTTTATTACCTGTTTACTAATTTAATTATTTTAGTTTATTTCATGCTTTATTTGTTCTATACTATTTTTTAAATGTTATTTATAATATGAATTACTAATTTAACTACCCCTTTTTGCACTTTACTACCGCGGAAATTCATAATATATAGACAATATTTTGCATTATACAACTGCGTCATAACCTGTGACACCATCTCATTATAAATCGACATTCCATCAGATTACTTCGACAGACTTGCAGATATTACACCGACAGGTCACCAAAATACATAGTCATATTACTTTATCCAGGACAATCAGACACATACTATAATATCAACAACAGTGTCATATATTTAATCCAACAAGGTAGGTAACATAGTACCATCAAGTTGAAGGACTTGGTACATGTATACAAAATACCAATGTATGTTTCACCAGAGACTATGCCTTATACATTATACCGTCAAAATCATTGTAAATTGAGTCAAACCAAAGTGACATGTAGGCAGTACATATACGATACTGCTAGTATTTGATTATCTTCGGTGTCAACCGTAGGTATGAATATGGGCGTCTTACGGTATTCGAACCCATAAAGATCTCAAACACTCTTCTAGCAGTACGACATTCCATTTTCGATAATGTTACCGTGTATATAATGTAATATTATCAGTGTTAATAATATTTGCCCTATTGACTCACATATTTTAATAAAATGTCTGTACAGACACACTTTGTCTTACTGTTGTGAAGCGTGTCTCGAGTATTGTTTATATGATATTCCTTTTTATGAAACATTCAAATGATACTTAATTGTTTCGAGTTCTGAACTGTTCAAAATAAACTCGCCATTATCACATATTTTAATGTTTTCTTGTTTTCATTAGATTCACTTATATTACCTAATAAATATTATTAACAACTGCCGCAAATGCTACAATCTTTCGAACAATTTCCACGTGCTCCACCTTCTCCGGGAATCGAACTCAGGATGTCTAATTTACGAGGTGTGTGTGTGTGTGTGTGCTTGCAATAATGGTAAAACCCCATGAGGCTTACTACAATCAAAAGATTATAGCTCTCCGAAATTAATATTAAAAAAAAATAACACTGAATAGAGAAGTTCCTGCAACGTTACGAGTATTGTCTGTGGAAGAAAATGGAAAATATGTTAGATTTCAGGACCAATTGATTCCCATCCAAA